GTAGTAGGAGTAGCAGTAGCAGTAGTTTTAGTGGTCAGTAGTGGTAGTGGTCACAGTAGTGGTAGTAACGTGGTAGTGGGACCATCAGTAAATTCTGTGGGTGCTGCCGCCAGGCTCTATCCGCCCACTTTCGCACCGCAGGACCTGTTAGTTAATAGGGGAGACTGCTTGGGTTCGCGACTTTCAATCACAGACCGCGCTGACTTCGGATCTCTACAGAAGGAACCTGCCTGGGGTTGAGCGCAAAGATGCTCTCGGTTGCTTTTCTCTTGCAGTTGAGGTGTAGCAGTTGCTGGCACGGCTAGGCCAACCAAGGTTGGGTAAGCATGCAGATTGTTCCGCACCCTTGAACGGGGGCTCCTATCAGAACTGTAGGATCGATGTACCTTAACAGGGCATTCCGAGAACATGGTGTGTCGGCCGTTCAGGACTACTCCAAGAACGTATTCCTCAATGCATTGCCGGATTGGGCATTGAGTCTGCATGTGAATTGCGATGATCCAGAACACTGGACTTATGACGATGTGCATTGTGTCCTGGCGATGTTTTGGACTTTGCCGGGCGCGACGACAGCTCGCTTGTTTCAGGTCGGACCGAAGCAAGTAGTAAGAGACAGCCTTTGATATGTTGAAGTTGGGCGGCTGCTGACAGGGAGGAACAGAATATGCCCCACAGTCTCACTCTCCCCTCTGACTAAGGGCAGGGTCGATTTTTACTGTACGTCATTCTCGTAGCAAGCAAGAGAGGCAAGCCAGCGGGCTGCTGGTTTTCGATCTTTTGCAGCATGCATAGCCACAGGTGAGGCACCCTAGCTGGCCCTAGCTTGAAGAAGCCAGCACTCGATCCGCCCTTAGAGACCAAGGTTGGGACGTGGCATACCCTACCTGCCGGACAGGCCGGAAGCAGCTGCTTTGCCTGCAGTTGGACACTGCCGTTTGGCTATAGCGACTTCAACCAGGACCTTGTCTCCCTAAACATGCTGACTTGGATAGCGCGTGGCAGTCATTGCTTTAACATCTACAGTTCGTACCTCAGGTCTCCCATCAACATCCTCCCGCAGGAGGTCCAGTTCGTGCCTGGACCGCACCCATGCTGCTTGAAGATGCGAATCGAGAAGTGAATCCACACCCTCTGAGCACCCCGCCGCTTGGCGCTGCCTGCCGCCACCTGCACCATTCCAGATCTCGACACCCCACCTCCCCTGCTTCAAGGAATTGTCCTTGAGCCGGCAAATCGGACGTCCGACCCCCGTGGCTGAGTTTGCCGCAAATCAATTTTGCCTGCAAGCTCCAGCTTGCAGGTCGAGACCTCTAACGAATGCTTCTGACCTTGACTTGACTCCGAGCTTGCTGTCATCTGTACGAACCGACTGCCTCCTCTGGCATGTCCAAGCATGAGAGCGTGAACTCCCCATCTGACGGTTGGTAGTCATAAGTTTTGCGTCGCTCGACATCAACCCACAATATTCTCCACAATCCGTGTGAGTGCGTTTGTGACCCTACAACTCCGACGCACCACTTGGCTTGTCTTCATCTACACCTGCTTCTCGAAGCACGTGTCGTTTGCTGTTCTCTCACCCGTCTCCACACCGGAGGGCTTGACGAGTTGTGCGTTCCGAAACTGGGCGCTGCAGGGGGACCTTGATAGGTCTTTCCGTCATCTGGCTCAATCTGATCAGTAGCGTTCAGTCACTGCGATGGTGTGGGTCGTTGTTGCCAATCTTCGAAGTCCCATAAAACCTGAAAGCCCTCCGAGGAAGGCAACTCCAGGTTCCTCAGCCGTGTGGTCCCTCGGCTCAATCAGACTGGCGACAGAGGGATGGCCTGGGATCTCTCTTCAGTGCCTTTGAGGGCTTGGGGCTGCAGCTTTTGCAACCGTGCTTGCAGTGTCCAGAATGGTGCGCCGAGCAGAAGCAAGTACCTGTCTCCTCTTGATAGCTGTTTTGATGCATCTTCGGGGACACGATCTTGGGTGAGAAAAGAGGTCGCCGGATGGTTCCACCTTTCCAGGACTGGAAGCCAGTCAAAGACCTTCGGGTGGAGAACAACGGCCACAGCCTCATCGTGACCAGCGACATGCCTCTCGGATCTGCAAAGCATCGGATGCGGAACGTTGTTCTTCTGCCATAGCAGCGGGGAATTCACTTCTGCTTCCAGCCTCCTAACGCTGTCACAGGAGTAACAGGAGAGGCGCCACGAGCCCGAATACACACATCCTCGTGTGCATAAAGGTCGGAAGTTTAGGCGTACATCACACCGAATCACGTCGAGTGCAAGAGGATTCAGCACTTTGGCTCGTCGAAGAAAAGATACTCGCCCACGTGCAAACAACAGTGTGAGTGACAGCTTTCTTTGAGATACCACGCGTGCTCTTGCCATGTTTTATGTTCTCTGAGGCTTGGCTACATCAAGCTGATTGGTGATGATGGTTTCCCCGAGTTTTACGACATCGCAGCTTGGCTCCGGCAGATCGACCTTTTCGCAGTTTGGCCTCCAAGCCCGGAATGCTCAGCCTTGAGCTGCAGGGTTGTCCACTTGGGTTCCGGGTTCACGAGTCAGTCCCCAGCACTGCATACAAGACAGACTTGCATCTGTGGCCGCGCGGCACCGCGTCGACCAAAGACATGTCTGAACAGATCGCAGGCGCAGTTTCACTTGCACATGCCCTCGGAGCACATGATCAATGGCCGGCAGTTTGCTGCAGAACTGCACGTTGTGCATACACGGCAAAGGGCAATCGGACAAGAGACGCTTGCCTGCAAGTTCCAAGCAGCTCCAGGAGTCGTTGAGATTTATGTCATTGCCACTGCTCTTCAGGAAGAACACCTACGATTCCTTCCCGCTGACTGTGCTGGGGCTTCTGGCTTGCACTGGCATTGGTTGGGGAAAAGGGTCTGAGGCAATTGGTCGTGGAAGCACTTCTCTGCATCCATTTTCGCAGCTAGCGGCCAGTGACTACCGTACGCCCGCCAGACGAGCAAACCAAGCAGGATTCCATCCAAGCTTGCCGTTGTACGTTGGGCCAAGACCGAAGCCGCAAGCATACGGATTTTGGGACATGAGGTTCATGTTCGACATCACCGACACGGAGAGTCATTTCCTCAAGCAGTTCTATTTGGGTGCGGGCCCTAGGCACGAGTCGCAGACGGGAGATTCGCAAGCGGCAACATGATGCAGCCTGTCACGCGAGAGTGCTTTGGGCAGACAGCTGCCAGAAGCTAACAGTATCTAGGCATCGGTCGCAGAGGTCCAACTGAAAACGTGCACGCATGCGTGGATGTATGATGCATGCACGGGATTGCTTTTGCGTGGATGTACGCGTGCATGTACATGTGTTTTGCAGTTATGCATGAGTGCCTGCAATCTATACATGTCCGATTGTGCCTTCTCTACAACAAGTTGGTGCTCTATGTCAAATGTTGCTGCACTCTGCAAGTGTCTTTTTTCTGAGATGCCCATAGCAAATGGACCCAAAGTAATTGGGCAGCCAGAGCCCTTGGGCCCCTGCCAGCCCCACGCCTTTGCAGCCGGAAGATTCTGCTGATATCCCACCGCTTTAGACTTTTAGGATTTTAGGATGCGCGGGGATATAGAGAAAGCCCTCGATTGCCTCCTCCCTCAGGTGAGGAGGCAATTAGGAATCAGAGCTACAAGTTGCTTGGATTGGAGTTCAATCTTCTTTCAGGTTGGAACTGCAGGGCTTGATTTGTAGGTTTGGAGGAGCATCTTTCGAGGAGTAGCGGTTGAGGCTTTTGTGTGGCTTTTGTGCGATGGTTTGAGTTCATATTGCAGCCCAGGACTGCGAAGCAGCCGATCGACTTGATGCGGTCTCTCGGTCCAGCCCTGGATGGTGACTTCTACAGCGCCTCTGTGGCCATTTCGTCCCTTTCCTTCCGTTTCTTTCGCGTTTGGGCCCGAAATTCGGGCCCCAACACCACCGAGCATTTCAGTGATGCAGGTTTCACGGGTGTTTTTAGAGCAGGCCCAGGTGGCCAGGTAGTGCGTTTGCCCAGGATATGATGGCAGCTTCACAACGCCTGACTGCCACGAACAGATCAAATGGCTTCTTGGCGGTCTCAGAACTGACCAACAGCATTCAGGCGAACAAACGTCGTCGGATCTTCGCCAGATGTCCTAGATCTGGTCATGACATCGGGCATCGGGGATCTCAGCACCACCCAGTGGTCTTCAGCAACTATAGCCGCCATCCACAAGGAACCTCTTGTAGCAGGATCTTTTTGTCGCACCGTGCGCGGCAAGGTTTGTTTTTGACCACATCTTCCCAATGAGCCTCGCGCAGTGGGAGACCTTCAAGAAAGAGTTTCCCTTCGCGCAACATCGCTGCATAGACGTTCTGGATGCTTCGCGCTGCGATGTGAATCTGTGGTCTGTGAACCGTTGTCAACAACAAGTCATAGACTATGTTGTTGAGTCAGAACACGTCAGAAGGCATGCGAACCGTCCCGTGAACAAGCTGAAAGACCATCGCCTCGTGAAGAACGACTTCGAGGATGCCGACTGGGGAAATGTTTCCAAGAGATTCAGAACCTGTGGATTTCGCCCGGCGTGAATGGATGTCCCATCAGACCAGCCTTGTCAGAGCCAGGAAGGCACCCCGGTGCAGTACGACTTCTTCCTAGGCCGCCACGAAGGGCGGAACCGGTACTTCCCAGGCGCATGGTCTTGCAACGCATAGGTTTTGGCCTTTCGGCTCCGATCCGGCCTGGGCTTCGGGTTTGGATGTGGAAGCTTCCTAAAGCTTCCAGTTCCAGAGGCATGGAAACCCCTCACACAGAAAGGCCACCCTGGATCTGCCTCATGAGACCCACAAAGCCTTGAGAAATCTTCATGCCTTGCCCCTCTGTGTCCGAGTAGGCAAGAAATTACGACCAGGAGAGGGCTGGATCCTGGTCCCATGCCTTGCCATTATCGTAGCAGTGGCCCCAGTGTTCCTTACAGGAAGGGATTGGTTCGAAACTTCAATCAGGGGTTGCATGCGCGAGTGTGCAGTCGCTGAAGTCTCACAGGAATGCCGGACAGGCGGAAAAGTGGGCAAGTTGGCGTTTTCTACGGACTTTGGAACTTGTTGCCGGAGACGTCCTTCTTTCACATGCAGTCTGCGGTCCCTAAGTTGATGTGCCTGATCATGCTCTCCGTCTTTGTACGTGAGGGGCGTAGCCGGCTTGAAAGTGCCGGTGGACTGGTTGAGACAATCGGTAAGATCAGCTACAATCGCATGTAGACCGGCTTGGCCGACTTGGGCTAAAGGCCCATGGCACCAGTCATGCAATGGGCACCTTTAGGTTCTCTTAGCTTGGCACGACGTTGGTAAAGTAGATGATGACAGAGTCACAAGTTATGCCCTCGATACTTTGTGGCCGAGTTCGTGCTTGGGACCCTGGCCGGTCGAATTGAGTTTGCCCGTAGACGAAATGCGCTGCTAGCAGACAGGGCGATGTCCTGCTGACGGCTGCCATATGTGGAAAGCCCTTCCTTGCCAAAGTGATTGGAAGACGCATGCAGCTGGGAAGTTTGAATCCCAGCCCAGCTTCTCCACAAACCTGTCCACCAGACAGACAGGCCCACTTTCAGCTGAGCTGAAGCGCTTGCAGCGCATGGAATGCATCCCATCCACTGTGTAGCCGCGGTATGCCAATCATATTCGAAGCCTGGGTATTGAGTTACGACCATAGGTCCAACAGCCCTGACTTGTGCCCAACAACCAAAACCTCACCTCAAGAAGTGGACAACATCAGACGCAGGAAGGTGTTTCTTTCGTCCAGTTGCGACAAGGATTCCACATCAAGGAACCTTTCCTGCGCAAGCTGTATCCACGACGTTTCTCAAAGTGTTGCATCGTTTCCGTACGGGAATACAGCGAGGCGAGGCTAAGAAACAAAACATGTCAGTGATCCTCGATTCAGTTTGGACCCTTGCATGCACGCTGGCTTCTTGCGCAGGTCTGTGTCTGTTTCTGTCTCGTGTCCTCACCTGGTGGCCGTTTTCACCGCACCGGCTCGTGCAGAGGTAGAGGCAGATGGGCCACCAAAGGTGGCCCAAGTAGGGGGAGGGAGCTGGAGAGGTGCCCTGTTCGGGCCTTGGACAGTGGCCGGTCCGACAGGCTGCAGACTGTAGCACCTCTCTGGCACGGCGCCACGAAGCATCATAATCACAATAAGAATATGTTGCTGCTCATCATATCTTCGCTCTTACAGGAAAAAGCATCAAGATCACGAATTGGTTAGTCTTGCACTTGGGATTCCCGACTTGGCATTGTGTTCGGGCTGGCTCAGAGGGATGCACCTTGCTGCCGGCAACCTTCAACATCTCCAGGTGGAACGATTTGCAGCAAGTCACGCGCGTTCGGTGTAGTTGCCCATGATAGCAGCCACGCAGGTAGAGTTGGAACAGCCGCAGTGCAGTGAGCCCTCCGCAAATGGCATTGCAATACTGACCCGAGGCTGGTCACCATGTTCCTCGATGGCATGATGAGTCAGATAGGCGAGCGGGATATATAGATGGATTGGCAAGTTCAGGAACGAGCCCAATTAGGCCATGCCGAGTTGTCCAGCTCCATGAAACCATACCATGCCGACCTACCGACCTACCGACCTACCGACCTACCGACCTACCGACCTACCGACCCGACCGACCCGACCGACCGACCCGACCGACCGACCGACCGACCGACCGACCGACTGACCGACCGACCGACCGACCTACCTACCTACCTACCAACCTACCTACCAACCTACCTACCAACGTACCTACCAACGTACCTACCAACGTACCTACCTACCTACCTGCCTACCTACCTACCTACCTACCTACCTACATATACAACATACGTACATACATATACATACATACGGACGTACATACATACATACATACATGCATGCATACATACATACAT